GTGGGCTCAACAAATGTAGTTGCCTCCCTTTCCCCAGTTGGATAAAATTGGTGCTTATTAAAAACCAACCACATCCTTCTTCCTTACCCTCAAGGCAATGACTGTGATCATGAGACTAAATGGGCAGGACAGTTAGCATAGTATTAAAAAGAGAGCACTTAATAAATCATTATTACTATTACCATTATCATCATCATCATTATATAAATTGTTGACTTGTATAAACATTTTCTAAATTAATTCGGCATCAATTTATTTACAGAGATGCACTCTGCTCCTTAAATATTCTGACAGGTGGTCTAGCTGAATTTTTTTTAACTAAAAAACACTATAATTTAATAAACTTCCACAAATTAGGGAAGGACTTGACTCAAGTTACACACCTTCTTTTTAAGAACGTGTGAATTCCGTGGGGGTGAGGTGCAAAAGCTGGTGTTTGAAAAATAAATTAAAAATAGGTCTTTAAGAAACTAAAATCTGTGTCTTTTGGCATTGCTAAAATGTAGAGAACGCATCTGCAGTATTTAGAACCGGTGGCCAGATTGAAAGTTACGGTACCTAAATCCAGGCTGGATTTAGTTCCCTGAAAGCCACCCACATCTTCAAACACTGTTTTCTAAATTCGTGTGCTTAGAGTTTTGTTAACCCAAATATAGACATAATGAAAAATTATAGTGAAACTAGTCAAACCCAGGATTGTAGGATTTTAGAACTGGAAAGGGTCTTGGAGATAATTGAATTCAAACTCCAAATTTTGCAAATGAAAATATACTAAAGGTCCAGAGAAGTCTTAACATTGCCTAGTGACTTCTCCTTTGGTGGCAAAGGACTTTCTCAGTGAGCAGCTTTGGCACAACAGCAAAAGGAAAGTGACAGTCAAAGTCTTTTTTGTGGGCTTTATCACTTGGTGAGAAGAGAAAAATATATTTTGGGGGAGTCAAGTGTTTTTTCACTACCTGTATCAGGAGTAATAAGTTACCTTTGCAAGGCATTATCCAAGGATTGACAATGACCTTTCCCTATAGGCCTCACCCAGAAAGCTGAAATATGTCCAAACCAAACCAAAGCAAACCTCTGGATTTCGCATTAACACCATACACAGAATACAGTTTTGTAATTGGTTTAAAAAGGGGCTTTCTAGTACTGAGACAAACTCCATTGAGAATGTTTATAGCACAAGTATCATGGCCAGGTTCAGATATATTTGCAAGTCATTTGCATAATCCTGGAGAGAAAATAGTTGACTCTACCTATAGGGTCTTCATTTCTACTTTTTAAATTCTTTTCCCACTCTCTCTTTTCACTGGTAAAACTCTACTTTTCCAGATATATAAGCCAGAGGCAAGTGAAACATTCTGAATTAGAGCAGCTGGCTGAGGACATTTTGTCAAAATTAATGCCATGGGCTGTTAATAAGTGTTATCTTAAAAAAAAAATCAAGTGCTTGGAAAACATTGTATTAGTTATAATTAAATAGGATTCTTCACTTAAATACTTGTTAGTGCCTTTTATATGCTAATGTGCATTGTGAATCTTTTGGGAGAGTTGTGTAGATATATATTATCATTTTCAACACTCTCCTAACTTATCTGATCGTTATTCTACAAATCCTACTTTGATAATGCTGTACTAAAGCATAAGTAACCAAAAAGCAGTTCAACGTATAACTTGCAAAGTCCTATTGCATGAAATTGCATGAGAGAAAAATGAAAGTCATTGATTCCTTGAGTAGATTTTCCTTCTTGACTTCCCAAAGGCTATTCCCTACACAGGTATGGAGTCAGGATATGGTTCTTGGCCAAATGCAAAGTAGGCAAATTGTACAGAAAAGTGTTTTCCTAAGCATAGAACTATACAACAGAAGGTAAAGCTGGAAGGGAAGACTCCTTTCATGCCCAATATGTAAATGTTCGAAGTAAAGCTTTTTAAATTAAAGGTGTAGCAAGAATGAACAGAATTAGGGTCAGCCATTCCCCAGGCCCCTCCTGTCCCCTTCCCACCTCTACTGGGGATTCCTCAAAATCTGGAGGATCTATGGGGTAGGTTTGAAAACAACACATTCTTATGTGTATATAACTCCCTCATTTTTAAGTATGTAAGGTAAGTTGTTATTTATGAGAACAATTAATTTTTATAGAAAGTGGTTCTATTAAAGAAAAAGACTTCTTGTTCTGATGAATACGTTGATGGGACTAACTGAATGTAAGCTTAGGGCCAGGGAGAGAGGTGAATAGTTTGGTGCAATAAACTAGAGGAGAGTGTAGCGTCTCCACCGCAACATGGGGTTGGGGGAAGAAAACAGATGAGAAAATGACAGGAAGCGGGTGGAGGAGAGGAGTCAGTCAGAGGACTAGAGTCTAGGGTGAAAAGTGGTACAGATGTCTCAGAAGATATTCCAGGTCAGGAGATCTGTAATTCCAGATGAGTCTAAAATTCAACTTTAAGGCATCTACATTATTATGATTATAAAACCTCCCTTTTATGCTCAGATCTTCAGTAAAGTCCAAATAAACCACTATATAGAAATTGAGCAAGAAGCAAGTTTCATGTCTCAGGTTATAGAGGGTGGGACATGGATAGGCCACATGGAACAATCAACCCATAAAGTTACGTAATCCAGAAGCAACAAGGGCTCGTTCCATAAGAATGTAAGAAATCTAGACCTCAGCAGAAATCTTAGGGAAGGCTTTACACTTGCATAGAGCGTACAGTGAGGATCCCCAGTAAGGGCTGGGGATCTTACTTCAGTTGAAAGAACAGGGAGATCCCAGCAAATACCTGAATAACAGAAGGAAGTTATACTTTTGCGTGGAGGAATACTTCCTCTCCAAGGACCTGTGGCTCTCATTGCCAAAAAATGCAGTATCCCCCAAACGAGCTAACCTATATTCCTAATGATCAACTGGATCTGCTTGGATGCCTTTCTAGCACTTTAAATTTAGCATAATCCTGATTGTGTCTCCCCGCTGTCCTCCCCAAGTTCCTGTATCTTTGTTTCTTGCTTCTTTGAATGCACCCATCACTCACTCTACTTCTCAAGAAGAAACTTTATTCTCCCCTCTTTTCTTTCATTCACACCACATAGCTAAATAGTCATCCAACTTTTGCTGTCGCATACTGTCCCCTTCTACATTTTCTCACTTCTTCAGTTTAGTTTGCATATCCTTGCTAAAATGGTTCCAAGCACCTCTTAACTGCTTACTTTCTCCACTCCATCTACCCTCCATGCTTCACCAATTATCTACCCAAAATGCACATCTGGTCAAGTCACTCCACCACTAAATATCATTTTCTAGCTCCCCATTGCTCATAGGATGATGTTCCCTGTAGCCTGGCTTTTAGCCATCCTCAGTGCCAGTTCCTAAGCTCCGACCAGTGCCGGCTACAACCCCAGAGCCCTCCTCCACCTCACCTGTGATGGCGACATTTTTTTCTCTTTTATATGCTATGATTTATTATATTTAATATGGTAAAATTTAGATTCATTATAATTTAATCTCTCATCACTTTAAGTTGTACAATTCATTAACTATATCCTCTAGACTGTGCAAGAAGGCTTTTAGCCTTCTTGCAAATGCGTTCCTGCCCCACTACAAATTTCATCTGCCATTCTCCACCATATAGCATTTTCACCTCTAAAGGCCACCCACAGCATTTTCACCTCTGAATCTTTTCTTCTCCTTTTCTTGTCTTTCCCTACAAGACCTTATGCAAAACATTCATTCTCTGCCTCTTTACCATAATTCAAAATATCAGTTAAAGTTAAAAATAAAAGGTGTGATAGGAATTGTGTTTGTTCTTCAATGTTTGCCTTGTTTAATACTTTAACTCAAAAGAATAAATAATATGTACAATGCTACATGTTGTATCAGGGGAATGAGTTACAAAGATCTTTGGTGATTGCTAATTACACCTCACAGGTGACCACTACCCTACATGTATGTCTGGGCTTGACCAATGGAACGCCTACTCTCTGGAGACTGATTCTTGCTAACGATTGATTCTTGCTAAAAATGTAGTGTAAAGGCATAGAATACAGCTTGAGAAAAATGGTGCTTGAGTCTTTGTTTCATTATTCATTGTCCAAGTGGCTTTAGGCAAAACATTTCACTTCTCTGAACTTTAATTTTTATCTGTTATACAGTATCTACTTCCCAGGATTGTTATGCAGATCAAATGGAATCAAGTATGTGAAAATACTCTGAAAAAAGTAGAGAAAGGGCTTTGTAATCTATAAAATGCTATGCAAATGTGAAAAGGAGTGCTATGAAAAGATAACTGGACATGGGGTCAAAATGCATGGTGCAGGGATTCCCTGGCAGTCCAGTGGTTAGGACTCCATCTGTGCTTCCACTGCAGGGGGCCCAGGTTCGATCCCTGGTTGGGGAACTAAGATCCTGCAAGCTGCATGGTGTGGTAAAAACAAAACAAAAACAAACACAAACAAACAAAAACCATGGTGCTGTGGGTTGACCTGTGTCCTACAAAATGACATATTCAAGTCCTAATCCCCAGTACCTGTAAGTGTGACCTTATTTAGAAATAGGGCATTTGCAGATGTAATTAAATTAAGATGAGATCACTAGGGTGGGCCCTAATCCAATATGACTAGTGTCATTATAAGAAGAGAAGACAGAGAAGCAGGGAAGAATGCCATGTAAAGGTGGGTGCAGAGACTGGAGTGATGCATCTGTAAGCTAAGAACCACAATGGATGCCAACCATCGCCAGAAGTTAATGCAGAGGCATGGAAAAGATTTTCCCTCAAAGCTCTCAGAAGGAGCCAGTCCTGCTGACACCTTGATTTCAGACTTCTAGCCTCTGGAACTGAAGATGGTAAATTTCTTTTGTTTTTAAGCTACCCAGCAGCCTGTGATACTTTGTTGTGGCAGCCCTAGGAAACTAACTCACATGGGTGTGAATTAACTCCATCACTAATTAACTATTTGAATTTGGGTTTAATTATTTAAAAATTTCCCCTGATAACTTAAGGACACTTACCTTTCTGTGATTGTTTCTCTGAGACCACTGGCCACCCCTTTGACCACGGTGCTGGCTTTGGGGGTCAGCACCACCTGAGATATAAAAAATGATCCCTTCTTCCTTCTCTCAGTGATGGATGCCTGAAGAAACTGGATCAGTTTTTCCGGGTCTGTGGTGTTGGCCCAAGGTGCTGGCATCATCTGCCCAGGCCAGAGAAAGGGTACTTCCAGAGCCACTGGACTGTGGTAGAAGACCAGCACTTGGTAGTCCTTCTCCCACAGGTACTTTAGACTCACTTCCTGGGCAAAAATCGCTGGGCACATTTTATTTCCATAGATGTCTTTCAGCATTTGGACGAGTTTTTCATGGTGATACTTCTGCATCCCATAAAAGTGGTTGAAGTCCAAGAATACTACCTCCTTATGGTGATCTGTGAGGAATGCATTGATCTCCTCAAGGCCTTCATTGACTTTGGCACTGAACAAACCATGAGCAAAGTAGAGTTCATTGTCGGGGTCTCTAGGCTTGGTGGAAATTCGAAGATCAAAATAACGGATCCCAGCTCCTAGCTGACCAGTAAAGTTCATGGTTTGAGTGGCTAGCCACTTCCGCATCAGCTTTTTCGCCACAGTTCCAAACACAGAGACAAAATTCTGGACAGTTTCTGGCTGTTCAGGCCCCACTGGAGAGGCTTCATCAATGTAGAAGCTGAAGGAATCATGAGATCCTAGAAGAATAACAAGGCACAATGTGGTTACATTTCAGTCCTTTGTCCTTCCCAACTTCTTTCCCTCTTGCCATGTCCATATCTCTCCCTCAAATGAGCCAAAGGAAATACTAAGGAATATTTACCTAGTACATTCGAATGTCTTAGAAGGGTCTTTTTTTATAACCTAGTATAGTACATGGAGGACTTCAACTGACCAAATGGTTTGTAAAATGATAAGAAAAAAATCCCAACTAATCAATTTTTTAAAATTCAAAAGATCATCTTCTACTTCTGTAAACCAAGAATTTAATATATTCATTAGGGTTGGTTTTCCATATAGGTGGCGTAAGTGACCATTCATAAAGTAGAATTTATAGGAACTCACCAGTTCCCAAATACTTTGTCTACAATCTTGCCCTTTCCCTCTATTTTGGGTTGATTGTAAGCCTAGAGGGCTTGTTTCAATGAATAAAGAAGACCTTTTCACAGGTAGATGATCAGTGTTACTTCCTGCACTTTGGAAAGCACAAGAGATCACGGGAATAAAGGAGGGGAGAAATAAGGCAAGAGGACGGTACAATTTCTGATATTTTAACATCATTCTTGACCTGCATTTGGGCAATTGTGAATGTAGATGAAGTCAGGTACTTTTTACATATTGAATAAACAATTATTTTTTTCTTGCAAATTAACACAACTGATGGTATTTAAAAATTAACTAGTAGACTATTTTCTTCACAGATATTTCCTCTCTACAGTGAATGCTCTCTTTGGAGTTGCTTCCAAATTTAGAAGAATTTCTTCCTAGGGAGAACCTATTTAATTATTTATTTTTGGCAGTTACAAATATCAAACCTCCAGAAATGTAGCAATGAACATGTGTATGATTTGCCTGTAAGTACAGAGTGCCATTTAAAATATCATTGGACACAATAAAGGAAAATTATTTCATTTTAATTTTAGAGATACAGATGTAGAGAACAAATGTATGGACACCAAGGGGGGAAAGTGGTGGGGTGTGGTGGTGGTGGGATGAATTGGGAGATTGGGATTGACATATATACACTAATATGTATAAAATGGATAACTAATAAGAACCTCTGCATAAAAAAATAAATTAAATTACATTAAAAATTAAAAAAATATTCAGAAACATTACAGAGAATCTTCACTTAAAAGTTCTTTTAAATAATTTTTAAAGGTAAATGTAAGATTACCAGATCAAAATAAAGTTCTTTTGACTTTGAAAAAAAAAAAAAGCCTCCTTTACTTCTTGGTAAAATTAAATTAATATATTCTGAATTTTTCACACATTAGAAAAGGCAGATGTCATTATTCCCCATCTGTTACTCAGGCTTCCTTACACCTTGTTGCTCACTCCTGATTTACATCCATTGAAGTACAGCTTTTTCTAGATTTTTCACTCTTCCAACCCAAGATGTGTACTTGTGCACGTGCATGCACACACACACACACACACACACACACACCTGTAAGTTTATTATCACCTCAGGGCCTTTAACTGTTAAGCTATTTGAAGCAAAATTTTTTAGTGATGCAATATTTATCTTTGTCTATATTCCATATCTATGTCAATCTATATCTCTATGCCTATAGAGATATATCTATTTATGTCTAGCAGTAAACAGACTACAGTAATTACAAGAGTATGGATATTAGACACCATGGTGGGTTGTTAGAAAAAATAGTTTGAAACATACTTTGACACCTTGTAAATCATAACCTTTCAAGACTTGGAACAGATAATTCCTCAGAATTATTGGAATTTTTCAAACAATGAAAGGTAACCCCAAAATATAGAAATACCACATTTACTTTCATCCGGAACTATCTGATCTATTTATCTTTAGTAGATGGTATGGGAAGAAAATGTCAGCACTTTCTGGATAAGGAAAACTGTCAGTTTGGATCTGGCAGTGGCAAATTTTAATAGGGATTTAAATTGCTGCATGCTGATTTATTAGTTGCTGTTCAGTGAATGGCTAATATAAATGAAGAAACTAAACTGTACTATGGTTTAATATACAGCAAGATTATGTTTAAAGAAAGAAATAAAGAAGTGAGCTTAAGAAGAGTTATAATGGGCTTCCCTGGTGGCGCAGGGGTTGAGAGTCCGCCTGCCGATGCAGGGGACACGGGTTTGTGCCCCGGTCCGGGAGGATCCCACATGCCGCGGAGCGGCTGGGCCCGTGAGCCACGGCCGCTGAGCCTGCGCATCTGGAACCTGTGCTCCACAACGGGAGAGGCCACAACAGTGAGAGGCCCGCGTACCAAAAAAAAAAAAAAAAAAAAAAGTGAGTTATAATGAAATGATCTAGGATTGGATTAAAATAAGTATAAATAAGTAAATAAACCCTTAAAATAAGGGTTAATTTATAAAATTTTAAATTAATTTACAGGCATGTGAAGAAAAGGTGGATGAAAGTAATTAGTTACTTCTGTAATCTAATAGAAGACATAATTGGAAGCACACAGAAAGGGAATTAAATATGACTAGACTTCTTTCAGAAATGAGTTGCTCCTTGTTTTTGACACGTTACTAGAAATATTAATTTGTTATTAAGGCCAAAATAAGGTAATATTAAAAATAAAAATTAAAAACAGATAACAGGCAGAAGGAGAAACCACTGATACCCCCACCAGTATTTGTTCTAAGCTTGAGGAGCAGAATTATTCACCAGATGCAAATATTATTTGAAGAGAATTAAATTATCAATCAACATAAAACACTATCTATGCATTTTGGGAGAAAATACATAATCTAACATTGGCCAAGAAAGAATATTTTCAAGACTTTTAATTTCATTTGGAATAGTAGTTCCTCCCAAATTTCAAAATTTCCTCTAAACCATGAAGCTTTCTATTTGTTTGAACTTAAAACAAAAATACAGCACTACTACTTTATGACTTTCAATAACAGAGAAAGCCTCTGGCCCAGCCCTGTGTCTTTAAAATCAGGGAGCCTGCCCATGAGCAAAACAGTGCTAAACACTATTTCTTTGTTCTAAATCCACAACCTGTGTGCCTTATCTGGTCTAATATTTTGCTTCTACACTGGTTCAGTGTTCCTGTCCTCTTGTCCTCTTATTCTTATTTTATCTACCGCCCAAACTTGTACCTTGGACATGATACTTAAAGTTGCTCCTTTGATTCTGAACTTAGCTTTTCAATTTTGGCTTTGATTTGTCCTCTCTACTTAGACAAGAGCTGGCCACTCCCATTATGAACCCAGGCCAGTCAAGTTCCTTTGCTCTGGCTCTGAATAAGTGAATGGAATGGAAGAGGTTATTTTCTTTCATTTCTTAGAAACAGCCACTTTTATTAGTTTCTCCTCAGTCGGCTACATCATTCCCTCATTCAGACCGTAGGCATACTTCTAAGACAGACCTTAACATTCCCTGCCATCCTGACATTTACATCTCTCTGTTGAGTGTAGGCCCAATCTAGTGACTTTTTTCTAATAAATTAAATAACACAAACATGATGGGATACCACTTCTGAGATTATGCTGCAAAAGACTGTGACTTCCATCATGCTACTCTTTCTCTTGCTGGTTTTGATGAAACAAACTGCTGTGCTGCAGAGGTCCATGTAACAAAGACCTGGGAATGGCCTCCAGCCAGCAGCAAGTTAGGAACAGAGTCCCTCAGTCTAACAGCCCTCAAAGATCCGAATCCTTCAATAGCCACTGAGTAACCTTGGAAGCACATCCTGCCCCAGTGGGATCTTGACTGCAGCCTTGTGAGAGATCTTGAAGCAGAGGATTCAGTTAATATTTGCCTAGACTCCTGACCCACAGAAACTGTGTGTTGTTTTAAGTTACTAAGTTTGGGGATAATTTGTTACATAGCAATAGTTAACTAATGAAAGCTATAACAACCCTTTGGGGTTAATGAGGGCATTTGAGGTCTACAAACCCAAGCACCTAATATAAGAACTTGAAATGTTAATGAAGAGAAATTAAATTTAAAATGTTCATACGCACCTCTTTATGCTTGTAAACTATGTATCAGCTAAAAGAACGAGTGAAAGAAATCAAGTTGGTTTAAAAAGTTTTCTTGAATGGAGGAGTTACTCCATTCTGCATTCTGGTATGGCTGATCTTAGATGTCATATAGTCTAATCAGCTAAAATGCAGCATCCATTTTATTAACTCAACAGTGTAAGGGATCTGTGTGATCATCTCATTTTTATGGTCTCTTGTAGTACTGAACTTAACATCTTATCCTATAATTTGCTGTGGTAGGAAGACCTCTAGGATGGCCCCCCCAAACTTCCATCCCCTGTTATAGATGTCCTGTATAATCCCCTCCACTTGAACATGGTAAATATGAGGGATATCATTCTCATGATTATGTTCCAGTATATGGAAGAGTTTTTTTTTTCAGATGTAATTAAGGTCCCTAATCAGTTGGCTTTGTGTTAACTAAAGAGAGATTATCCTGAGTGGACCTAACCTAAGCAGGTAAGCCCATCAAACAGAGACAACAAGCAGCAGCAGATGTTCTGTTGTCCTTAAGAAACAAAATGCAATGTGGTAGAGAGGACCGTGTGGCAGTTGAAGTGATTAATAGCCTACCAAAATGATATGAAAATTACTTTGAGCTGAATATATCTGAACAATCAGCAGCCGCATACAGAAACATTATCTAAATTTAAATAGAACCTCTGAAAATATAGTTACCACTGACTTCCCTCCCAGGGAGTTACTTGATTGGGGAAAAACAAAAACAAAAACAAAAAACGACACTCAGCACCAGAAGTGTGAATTCAGCTGCTTGTTAGAATTAAAAAAAAAAAAAAATAGAACCTTCCATACTCTCCCAGTGAAGCTCTATCTACCCCTCTTTTGTTAAGTTTAGTATATAAGCCTTTTCTTTCTGGTTATTCCAGTAAGTTACTAGTCTCTGAGTGCTTCTGCATGTACACTGTGCATGCATAAATAAACATTGTCTTTTCTCCTGTTAATCTATCTATTGTTGATTAATTTGTAGACCACCAATCACTGGACCCAAGTTGGAAGAGGAAAAGATTTCCTTCTTATGAAGTGAAGAGTTGGCAGCTTCTAGGAGCTGAGGGCCACAGTGCTACAACTCAAAGAACTACATTCTGCCAACAATCAGCAAGCTTTCAAAAGGATCCTTAGCCGCAAATGAAATTACAGCCTTGGCCAATACTTTGATTTCAGACTGATGCAGCCTGGTCTTCATATTAAATTAGGCAATACAGTACTTTGAAAACAGCATTGAATGTGTTGGAAGACTAGGCTTGAATTCGAGCTCAGTTACTAACTCAAAGTTTAACACTGGAGGGTCATCGGATTGTTAACTCTTCTGGTTTCGGATTTTCCAATTTGTTCAATTAAGATACTCTCCACACCTACTTCATATGATTCTTACAAGGAAGAAATGAACTCATGTTCATGAAGGTTCCATAAAAGAACTATAACACTTAAATTACAATTATTTTCATTTGGTGATATACCTAGTCACAAAACATCTATTCACTTGTGGCTAAGAAAAACATTACCTAGACAAACACACATTGGGACATCTGTGCAAGCAGGAACGGAAATGATTTAAGTTGCAGGATTTAGATTTTTGTAAATAGTTTTTGAAAATCAGATTCTTATCCATCACTTGTCTAAGATTTAGCAAATGTAGGACAATCAACATTACCACATTTCTTGTTGCTTTGAACAGCAGCTAAATATTTACATTCTGCCATGTTAAGAAAATTGATCTGTTATGTATATTAAGCACTACCTCTCTTCCATTCAATATCTTTCCAGCATTATTTATAAAAGCTCTTTGAGATGGAGTTCTGGTTGGTCTCTCAGTTTGGTCACAGTTCCATTTCAAATTCTGCAAAATTATGGGTTTAATAAACATCAAAGAAAATGCATCAAGTTCATTTCATCTGTGAACCTTCAGAACAAGAAGGCCCAGGAGGCTAAGGTTTGACATGCTCATGAGTGTGCAATTCTGATATCTATATCCTGATCTTAGAATTCAGGCTCTGACTCCATCAATATAAGAACTGCTCCTCTCCTGGTCTCTGCAGGGCACTAAGCTTGGTTGCAAAAGTTTATGCATGGCACTCTGTATTTCCCTTTCCTTGCCTGTTTTATTCCTATTTTATTTAGCACAGTGCCAAGGTTTTTAAGATTCCTGCTTTCTGGGAACAGGTTTCCTGTGTATTTGATATCTTGGTACCTTTTGTGATTATAAGGCCAACACCACAGGAGTAGGGAAGCATACGTACCTGCAATCTGTGAACCAAAAGAAGACTGCTGGATGAAGGGGTGAAAGAGTATATTTAGCTTTTGACGCCCTTTTCTAGGGTAGAAGATAAGCAGGTGGTAGTATCTCCACTTTCCATGGGAAGAGACAGAGTTCTGGAGTGAAGTTTACCCACTGGTCTTCCCTTCATGAAAGTCTCAGTCCTAGTCTTCTGCAACTTACATGTATTCCCTTCTCTGTGGCAAAGCCTTTGTTCACTCATGGTGGTCTTCCTTTCCCCTGAATTCACAGTTCGTCTAGTCTGCAGCTTCTTCTCATCAACCAGTACCAGTTATTAGATGTTGTAACTAATGCTCATTATGTTCATTGAATTTTTATTCAGTCTTTATATCTTGCTCTCCACCTGCAATCCCCCAACATACATATTGATTTTAATCTAGATTGTAAGCTTCCCCAAAAGAAAAAACTATGCCTTATAATCTCCTGTGCCCACTACTGTATCCAGCTTTATAAATATAAAAACATTTGGTTCAAGTCAATGGGTCAAAATTGTTCACATGGGATATGCTATAAAAGCAAAATCACTACTTCTACTAATAACCATTTTTACAGATTAGGCCATTATTGACCCCCTTTTTCTTTACTATTTCCTTTTAGATTTCTCAGAAAATTAGTCTACACAGACTGGCTCTCTCTCCCTAACTTTGGTTCCATCTTTAACTGCTGTAATCACACTATCATGATTGTAACTCATATAAAACCTCTGTGAAATATCCTCAGTGACTACTAAAGAAACTCACCAGCCTTCTGTGATCTCATTCCTAAATCCTAGCACAGAGCTTAGCAGGCATTTAAGTTAACATTGTTGAGTAAAGGAATGAGTGAATCCTGCTCAGCCTTGCTGGAACATTTGATACTTCCTTCTTGAAATATTTTCCTCCTTTGGCTTTTTAGCCATGACTCTTTCCTAGTTTTTCTACTTTCTTGTAACTGTCCTTTCTCAGTCTCCTTTTGCCGCCTCTTGCTGCTCTTCCAATTCCTAAATGAGAGTGTTATCCAAAGTTCTATTCAAGACTTCAACTTGCTCCATGCTTCTTCCTAGGGTGATCTCATTCATTTCTTTGGCCTCATGCCTTATAATAGATGCATAATAAATTGATCCAATCTAATCTGACCTCCATTACAGATTCCCTGTCTGCCTATCAGGCAACTAAATTTCATTGCTCCATGGGAAACTTAAACTTAAAATGTTTTAGATGAAGCATAGTATCTTCCCCTTCAAACCTGCTCCTTTATATGTGTCCCTATGATACTTATCTCATATTCCTTCCATCTCATCCTTGGATTCATCTTGAATTCTTACTTGCCCCTCAAACCTCACATTCAGTCAGCCTTAAAGTCCCATTGTACTGACCTCCAAATCCTCTCTCAGATATGGCCTCTTCTTTTCCATTCCATTGTCAATGGCCTGGTTTCCAGTTGGGACCACTGACATAGCTCTTAGGTAATGTTCCCTTTATCCTAGCTACTACCATTTAACCTTCCTCTTCAGGCATTATCCTGCCTCAGCCTCTAGAATGGACTTAATCTTAGGAAAAAAGCTATAGAATTGATTTCAGACAATAGAGTGGCACGTCTCATCAAATTCCTCTTGCTCTCTGTCTCACTTTCATTAACAGGAATCTGGTCTTGGTAACTTATCCAGTATTCAAGTCTTCTAAGGAAATTATTTCCTCTTATGACTCCATCCCACCCTTAGGATACTGAAATTTCACCACTAAATGTTAGGCTGGTAAGTAGAACTTAGTTATGTGTTGAGTCTCTCTGCCTGTTGGTGTTCCTTCAATATTGTCGACTCCAGAGTACTAATTAGTCAGCTCCATTCCCTGTTACCTTGTACTAAAATCCCTAAACACAACTCTGTGTGGACTCTGGCCTTGAGAGGGTACAAACCTGATTGATGGCATAGAGGACTCTGACCTCAGCACATGATCATCTCTGCAGGGAGATCTGTACTGCCCCATTCCCGGTAGTACTTAATAAACAAAACCTCCTATTGGTTTCTGACTGTAATAGAGTAGGGAACATACACAGATTATGAAAAAATATTAATTCTCAAATCACTTTTACTTGATTTGGAAGTCAGTCAATTCTCTCCAATTGTAACTATACAATGCTCAATCTGACAGAAAAAAATGTAAAAATCAATTATTTGGTTATTATTTGACAACCTACAATTAATCTCATTAATTTTTTCCCCCGTTGATTAAAGTGATCGGTTATTTGGATTTTTCAGAGACAAAGGCCAAACCTTGAGGAGTAAGGATCACTCCTTGTTCCTGTCATGTAATCTTGCTTCAGTCCTCTAGCACACGATAGGGCTTTGTGGACAATACAAGTGATTTTGTGTCATCAGAGATAATGCACAATATGTAATACAAACTAAGACACTTCTAAAACTGAACAGATAATTAAAAATTACATGCTTGTAATTTAATATTTGTACTTCACTTGACATAAATGTATAGGAAATACAATTTTTAATATTAAATTAAACCTGACACATCTTGTAGAACACTGAGATTAATCCTTTTGTAAAGGAAAAATCAAAATGACCATGCTGTGTTTTCTCCTTGGATAAATCTGTATCTTTCATATTGTGTAAAGCCACACTCAGCACGTCTCAGAGACAGTAAGCTAAAGTAAAGGAGGTTGGTTTCTTTACTTTTAAGTCTTTTGATCCAGGATCCCAGATGCTAAATTTGAGAAGCCTTATTACATTAATGCCTCCCAGTAGAGAAGCTCAATATTCATCACAATTTCTTTAAACTTGCTGGGTCGTTTCTTTAAACCAGTAGAGGAGCTGACAGTGGATAGTTTAGAGCAGCAGCGTTTCAGTCAAGGGGCAGAAAAGAAAGCCTGCTCCAACTGCCACCCTTGGTGAAACTTATTAAACCTCTTTTTCATATAGATGTCCTTTTAAGGACTATCAATAGGGTTGTCTGAAAAATAATTAAAAGACACCCCAAGAAATAAAGAATCCCTAAATTACTGCTAACTTCCCATAAACCAGCTCAGCTATACATTCTCCTTCTCCACTGCAGCATCTGCCTGGACCATTCTCAGGAGCTGCTAAGCCAGGGATAACAGTATCCCAAACTTCTAAATCTGCCAGCATAGCATTGGTGAGGGCAGCTTCCTAAATGGGAAGGTCCTAAGACCAGGAAGAATCTATATATGAAATATAAAGATTTAAGAAGAAAATCAATAGAGCAGCAATACTGTTAGGTAATCAGAAAGACCAATAGACCCATCTGTTTCCCTAGAGAAGTGGTATTTAACCAGGGTTGATTTTGATCCAGGAAATATTTGACAACACCTGGAGATGTTTTGTGTTGTTATAAGTGAAGGGGGCAGTGCTACTGGCATTGAGTGGGTAGAGGGCCAGAGATGCAGCTGACCATCCTGCAGTGCACTGGACAGCTTCCACAACAAAGAATGAACCAGCCCAAAATGTCTGTACAGTAGTTCCCCTCATCTGCAGGGGATATGTTCCAAGACACCCAGTGGATGCCTGAAACCATGAATAGTACCAAATCCTATATATACTATGTTTTTTCCTATACGGACATACATATGATAAAGTTTAACTTATAAATTAGGCACAGTAAGAAACTATCTGAATTGCCAGCATCACTACTCTTGCACTTTCGGGCCATTATTAAGTAAAATAAGTGTTACTTGGAACACAAGCACTGAGATACCATGGCAGTCTATGTGATAACCAAGATGGCTAAGTGACCAATGGGCGGGATACCCTGCTCAAAGGGATGATTCACTGCCAAGGTGGGACAAAGTGGTCAGCATGAGGTTTCATCACACTACTTAAACAGTGAGCAACTTAAAACTTATGAATTGTTCATTTCTGGAATTTTCCATGTAATATTTTTGGGCCAGAGATGACCCGGATAACTGAAACCTCAAAAAGCAGAACATCGAATAAGGGGGGACGACTGTACTAACAAGGTTGAGAAAGCTTGCTCTAGTTGAAACTGTACAGGCAGATAAAGTAATTTCCAGAAGTATAAACCAAACATGGAATTGTCTCCCTCCACCCACACACACATTTTCCCACAGTAAAACTCATCTCTCACATGCTTCTCATGGTGTCATTTTACTTTTAAGATATTCTGAATACTTACAGCAACTAAAACTATCACATATGAAACACTGCATTTTTTTTTTTTTTTCGGTATGTGGGCCTCTCACAGTTGTGGCCTCTCCCATTGTGGAGCACAGGCTCCAGACGCGCAGGCTCAGAGGCCATGGTTCACGGGCCCAGCCGCTCCGTGGGATCCTCCCGGACCAGGGAACGAACCCGTGTCCCCTGCATCGACAGGTGGACTCTCAACCACTGCGCCACCAGGGAAGCCCTGCTTTTTTTTTTTTTTTTAACATCTTTATTGGAGTATAAGTACAATCTTGTGTTAGTTTCTGCTGTATGATAGAGTGAATCAGCTATATGCATACGTATATCCCTATATGCCCTCCTGTTTGTGTCTCCCTATCCACCCCTCTAGGTGGTCACAAAGCACAGAGCTGATCTCCCTGTGCTATGCAGCTGCTTCCCACTAGCTACCTATTTTACATTTGGTAGTGTACATGCCACTCTCTCACTTCTTCCCAGCTTGCCCATCCCCCTCCCCATGTCCTCAAGTTCACTCTCTACATTTGGTCTTTATTCCTGTCCTGTCACAAGGTTCTTCAGAACCTTTTTTTTTTTTTAAGATTCCATATATATGTGTCAGTATACGGTATATGTTTTTCTCTTTCTGACTTACTTTACTCTGTATGACAGACTCTAGGTCCATCCACCTCACTACAAATAACTCATTTTCATTTGTTTTTATGGCTGAGTAATATTCCATTGTATATATGTGCCACAACTCCTTTATCCATTCATCTGTCGATGTACACTTAGGTTGCTTCCATGTCCTGGCTATTATAAATAGAGCTGCAATGAACATTGTGGTATATGACACTTTTTGAATTATGGTTTTCTCAGGGTATATGCCCAGTAGTGGGATTGCCGGGTTGTACGGTAGTTCTATTTTTAGTTTTTTTAGGAACTTCCATACTGTTCTCCATAGTGGCTGTATCAATTTACATTCCCACCAACAGTGCAAGAGGGTTCCATCCTCTCCAGCATTTATTGTTTGTGGATTCTTTGATGATGGCCATTCTGACTGGTGTGAGGTGATACCTCATTGAAGTTTTGATTTGCATTTCTCTAATGATTAGTGATGTTGAGCATCCTTTCATGTGTTTGTTGGCAATCTGTATATCTTCTTTAGAGAAATGTCTCCTTAGGTCTTCTACCCATTTTGGGATTGGCTTGTCTGTTTTTTTGATATTGGGCTGCATGAGCTGCTTGTATATTTTGGACATTAATCCTTTGTCGGTTGCTTCATTGGCAAATATTTTCTCCCATTCTGATGGTTGTCTTTTCATCTTGTTTATGGTTTCTGTTGCTATGCAAAAGCTTTTAAGTTTCATTAAGTCCCATTTGTTTATTTTTGTTTTTATTTCCATTTCTCTAGGAGGTGGCTCAAAAAGAATCTTGCTGTGATTTATGTCAAAGAGTGTTCTGCCCATGTTTTCCTCTAAGAGTTTTATAGTGTCTGTCCTCACATTTAGGTATCTATCCATTTTAAGTTTATTTTTGTATATGGTATTAGGGAGGGCTCTAATTTCATTCTTTAACATGTAGCTATCCAGTTTTCCCAGCACCACTTATTGAAGAGGCTGTCTATTATCCATTGTATATTCTTGCCTCCTTTATCAAAGATAAGGTGACCACATGTGCATGGGTTTATCTCTGGGCTTTCTATCCTGTTACCTTGATCTATCTTTCTGTTTGTGCCAGTACCATACTGTCTTGATTACTGTAGCTTTGTAATATAGCCTGAAGTCAGAGAGCCTGATTCCTCCACCTCCGTTTTTCTTCTCAACATTGCTTTGGCTATTTGGGGTCTTTTGTGTTTCCATACAAATTGTTAAGTTTTTTGTTCTAGTTCTGTGAAAAATGCCATTGGTAGTTTGATAGGGATTGCATTGAACCTGTAGATTGCTTTGGGTAGTAGAGTCATTTTCACAATGTTGATTCTTCCAATCCAAGATAATGGTAGATCTCTCCATCTATTTGTATGATCTTTAATTTCTTTCATCAATGTCTTATAGTTTTCTGCATACAGGCCTTTTATCTCCTTAGGTAGGTTTATTCTTAGGTATTTTATTCTTTTTGTTGCAATGGTAATTGGGAGTGTTTCCTTAATTTCTCTCTCAGATTTTTCATCATTAGTGTACAGGATGCAAGACATTGCTGTGCATTAATTTTGTATCCTGCTACTTTACCAAATTAATTCATTAGCTCTAGTAGATTTCTGGTAGCATCTCTAGGATTCTCTATGTATAGTATCATGTCAGCTGCAAACA